ATGTCCCTTAATTTTATGTGTAACATCGTTATATATAAGATCTGCAATGCGATTTTACGCCTTTTTATAAGAAAAAAAAGCCAAAATACAACATTCACCTCTATGTTAACCCAACAATATCATAAGCTATTATATTTTTGCTTCATAATGTTTATGAATTGCTAGATTTCTCTCCTTATTATAATAAGCTTACTATCCTTAACGGATTTAAAACCAAAAACAATCTTTTAAAGAAAGAAAACGATTTAAACATAATTTTAAGACGTTTCATATAACTACGCAAATATATTATGGAGAACTTGAGAGAAAAATGTAAGTAAAAAAACAATACTTGAAGCGATTCTTATTCAAAATTACGTTTTGCTACGAATTGATTTATATGATACATCTATAGTGTTTTGGCACTTATTATATACTTCGTGTTTTTAAATTAACTAGTTAGTTTAGAGTAATGTCTATATAAGTGTAAAAATTTTTAGGTATATTTTAATAAATCGTTTTTAACATACAGTACAATTAGTTAACAAATATGCGAACAAGCCAAAAAAATATGCATTACTCTGGTTATCCCCTGGTCAACCCCATCTATGTAACTTTTTTCATGTACTTATTTCTACTGGACATATATCTATTTAATTTAGTTAGTTGAGTATTATCTTATTTAATCTTAAATGTCAAAAACAAATGCGTAAAATAAGGGTTTCGCTCTAAAATAAGTACATGAAAGTTATGCTACATAGATGGCAGGGGATAAATCAGTTATATCCTGGGCAGTTGGATATAAGCGAAATTTTGTAGTAAAGTATAACCGGCCACTTACGCGGCCGATTATACTTACTGCAAAATCCCACTTATACCCAACTGCCCAGGATATAACTATTACTTATATCAATATTTGGATATACCAATATTGATATTTTTTATAATAAAGTAAATTACAGCAGCACTTAATATGTCATTATATTAGATGTTGGTATAGCTAGAATAATGTGTATAAACATAGTTTTATTAAGTTTTGGGAATTTATTAGTAATAAGAATTCTAAAATTTAAAAAAATAACAATGTAATTTAGCAATTGTAAAAAAAGACTATATACTGTTACAATTAACTTGACTTTCAGATAAATTATTATAATTACTTATTTAATATCTTTATTTTTATAAATCTTATAGTCCAAAACAAAAAATTAAGCAAAGATATTTTAATTTTTAACAACTATGGAATGAATGAAGCATTCGATATTAAGGATCCTGATAGTGATTATGATACTTACGATGATAGTACAAGTTCTATAACCGTTGAAGAAAGTATTGCATCTGAAGATGCAATAGTTAATGAAAATATTGAAATACAATCATTTATATGGGATGAATTTGCTTTTAAACAGGCTCAAATATTGGCTAATAAAAAAGAAAATAATGATGATTGTGAAATCGAATGGGAAGATCTAGAACATGAATTTTCTGAAACGGCATCATTTGTAACAGAATCAACAGACAATAAAGGCCTAAATTATTTTTTAGATAATTGTAAAAAAGCCAAAACATTAACTTCTTGTGTCTTTTTACATGTAATTGATGGTCAAGTAAAATGATATTCTAAATTTAAGCAAAAAACACAATAACCTTTAGCACAATTACTTGGTACCTGGGAAATCGATAGTGAAGCAT